ACATTTAAGTCTGTAATCCATCTTGAGTTAATTTTTGTATGTGGTGAAGGGAAGGGATCCTGTGTCAATCTACAGGATAATGACTAGCCAATTATTCCACCGCTGTGTATCGTATAGAGAGTCCTTTCTCCATTTCTTGTTTTTGTCAGCTTTGTCGAAGATCAAATGGTTGTAGGTGTCCAACTGTATTGCTGGGTTCTCTAGCCTGTTCCATTAGTCTATGTGTCTTTTTTTTTTTTTTTTTTTTTTTTTTTTTTTTTTTTTTTTTTTTTTTTTTTTTTTTTTTTTTTTTTTTTTTTTTACCAGTACCAGGCAGTTTGGGTTACTGGAACCTTATAGTATAGTATGAAGTTTGGTAGTGTGACGCCTCTGGCTTGTTCTTTTTGCTTAGAATTGCTTTGTCTATTTGGGCTCTTTTTGTTTGTTTCCTTGTGAATATTAGAACTTTTAAAAAATTTTTTGAAAAATGTCATTGGTAGTTTGAAAGGAATAGCAAGTAATCTATAAATTATTGGGTAGAAAGGCCATTTTAATATTTTTTTTAAAGTCCGTGAACACGGAATTATTTTTTTACTTATTTGTTTGTGTCATCTCTGTTTTCCTTCAGCAATGTTTTGTAATTCTCATTGTAGAGATAGTTCACCTCCTGGGTTATCTATATTTTCAGGTATTTTATACTTATTGTGGCTATTGTAAATGGAATTTAATTCTTGATTTGGCTTTCAACTTGAATGTTATAGAAATGTTACTTTTTTTTTTACACTGATTTTGTTTCTTGAAATTTTATGGAGGTCATTTTTCTGTTCTATGAGCCTTTTGTGAAGTCTATGCGTGGGATTTTGCATCTGACAAAGGTCTAATATGTAGAAACTACAAAGAATTTAAACAATAAAAAGCAAAACAAAAAACAAAAAAAAGCAAAAAAAAAACCAGCATCTGGCAAAAGTTCTATTATCTAGAAACTATAAGGAACTTAAAAATCAACAACAACAATAGAACAATAATCAATTAAAATATAGGCAAAAGACATGAGCAGACACTTTTCCAAAGATGATATACAAGAGTCCAACAAAAGTAAAAAAATTCTCTGCCTCACCACTTATCAGAGAAGTGCAAATTAAAACAATGAGAAATCATACCATACCAGTCAGAATGGCTACTATTAAAATGTCAAAAAACAACCCAAGAGATGTTAGTGATGTTATGGAGAAAACGGAATGCTTACACACTGTTGATGGGAATGTAAATAAGTTCAGCTGCTGTGGAAAGCAGTGTGGAGATTCCTCAAATAACTTAAATGATAATTTTCATTTGATCCATCAATTCTACTACTGGGTATATACCCAAAGGAAAACAAATCATTCTACTGAAAAGACACGTGCACTTGTATGTTCGTTGCAGCACTATTCAAAATAGCAAAGTTATCAAATCAACCTAAATGCCCATCAACAGTGGACCAAATAAAGAAAACGTGTATATACACCATGAAATACTACACAGCCATAAGAGAAATGATGAAATTGTGTATTTTGCAGCAACATGGATGCTGCTGTAGGCCATTATTGTAAGCAAAATAACACAGGAACTGAAAACCAAATGCTGCATGTTTTCATAATTAGGAGTGAAATATTAAATGCAATGAACACAAAGACATTGGGGACCACTTAAGTGGGGAGAGTGGGAGGGAAGAATGGTTTGTAAAGCTACCTATTAGGTGCTATTAGGTGTCATGCTCATTGCCTGTGAGTTGGGATTATTTGTGCAACAAACCTCAGTGACATGCAAATTACCAAGGCAAATAACGTGTGCATGCACCCCCTAAACATAAAACTAAAGAGAAAAAAATAAGTAAAAATGTTAAAATAATAATTACAAAATAGAACTGTCCTAATTTTGAAGTCCCAGAAAGTGGTAAAATGCTAGTGACGATACATGGAAAAAGAAGTTTACAACTCAAGAACCTAGTACTTCCTCACTTCCCATATAAGTTTATTCCCAAAGCTTTGTTGTGCCTACCAAGAGGCTTAGCTGAATATCAAATTGTAGCCAAATTTCTGAGTATCTTGATTCCCATGTCTCACTCAGGCAAGTCTATGAACTTCAAACGTAATACATATTCACCCCTTTACACGTTGTGTCTCCTTGATTCTTATATATTTGTCTCTTTGCATAGGAAAGTAACCTGGGAAAGTTACTGTAAATAATTAGTGACAACCCTTTAGGCCGGTGTTATTGCTTTAGAGCAACTGCTTTTAAAACAAAAATTTGTAATATAAAGAAGTATAGCTTTGATAAGAAATCAGGAATTCTGTGACGGAGTTACCAAAAAAGAAACCTTAAAATTGTACCACTAAGGAAAAGCATTATTTTACCATGTTTATGTGTGTGTGTGTGTGTGTGTGTGTGTGTGTGTACAAGTAAATCTAGAAAGCCATATTCTTTAATGCAGAATTTAGTTTCAGTACTGGAAAATGATATTCCCTAATATAATTTAGAGTAATAAGTTAATGCAATTTAAATTAAAAGTTTGAGCATGAAGCTGTAATTGGTAAAATGCAAATTGGCATTAATTTATTGTGCATCTGCCATATGCTAATAATATTATTATTTTATTTTATACAAACCACTCAGATGTATGGAAATTTCAGTGAACTTAACTATACCTGATCAAGTTTCCAACAACTTTATGCAGATAACTTTAAAAATATTTCATCAATCTGAAACTCAGCTGCAGAACATAAAATGATGTTGCCCAGCAACTAATGGAAATCTATTATCTACTTTGTAGATTTGAGACGCTATATTTGTGCTTAAATTTTAGAACATTTTAGAGAACATTTATGTACATTTGTGTTCTTTTTAATGTCCAGAATTTTAAAAATGTCAAATACTAAGGTCTGTCTTTTGCTTTTTTCAGAAAAGAAGAAAAAAAAAACCACTTTACTGTAGCTTTTTAAATTATTAATAATTCACATAAAATTTGTAAACAATTCAGTTCATAATAAATTTTTACAATGCTATTTTATTTAAAAATTTGGAGATGTAAGCTATCTTATGCACTCTTGTAAGAGAATTGTATCTTTAAATTCAACAGTCAGTTTATCGAAAGAAACAGAAACCAGCTACATTTGCATTACTTCTTTCCTGAACTATTGTGACTTGTAACCATACTACCACTTTTTAAATTGTTGTGATGAAATCATGATTATGAAATTATTATCTAAAACAAACAGCTACATTGTAATGCTATGATATTTCTATTTGCCACTTTTAACATTATTCGGAGTGTTCAAATAAACATTTTTTTTCAGTATAAATTTGTTTTACTGTGTTGGCAACTGGAATCAGGAATATAATGTTTTGTCTTTATATAGTTTATCAGTAAAATCATATTTATGTTGGTAATTTTGCATAATATTTTATATTATATGTTGTGATATTCAGTTGCAATGTTCAACTCTGTAAAAATTACCCTTAAAACTTGTTTTCTCATTTCTGTTCCTTCCCAATTCGTTTATATATAGCTTTATCTTGGAAGTTTTAAAATTAATGATAAAAAGGGGTCTTTTATTGCTTTTACATTTTACATTTTAACAGAGGTTGACAAAGGTAACCAGAGATAAACTCTAATTTTGCTCTTAACAGAATATTGAGAACAATGCAGCATCAACATCATTCATTATTCTAAGGGACACAATATTACACATTGATTTGTAATGAATCTGTTAAATAAATATTAAAGGAAAATTATCATACTCTGAATACTAAATAAATATTAAAGGAAAATTATCATATTCTGAATTCTACACTATTAAATAAGAAAATGATGCATCAAATGTCCTGTGGTAAAACATATATATATATATATATATATATATATATATATATATGCTTAAAAAGCAGCATTTTCATTTTCCATGACAGTAGACCTGAAATACAGTTGTAAACATCATGAAGTCCAGAGGAATGACAGTAGACCTGAAAAACAGTTGTAAACATCATGAAGTCCAGAGGAAGAGAAAAAAATATTCTTTCTGTTGCTCTCCTTTAGGATGGAGACTTCCCCAGGGTACTCTAGCAGCTGGATAGTCATATCTCATATGTGAGAATTGGATCAAATAGCCATTCATAAATCATTCAACAACAGTGAGACTATAATTCACATTATTGGTTTAGATTAATTATTTTAGATAGAAAGTCTCTCAGGGAGTCAAACAAGTATTCATTACATGGCCCGTTTCAAAGTCACACACACAAAACCACACATAGCTAGTCTTTCTTCACTTATCACATTTTACCTCTATATGGGGAATTTTATTCTCATTCATTTTTGCATTTTTAGCTTTTATTTGTTCATAGCACACAGTGTATGTTCAATATCTATGTAATAAATGCTAAATTCATAATTTGGTAATAGAATAAATACAGCGTTTAAAAGATGAAGCAAGGGGTGCATTTGAAGCTGCTAGACACGGAGGTTGAGGTGAATTTGTTAATTGAAATCCAGAGTAGAGGAGGAGAAAGAGGTTTTATTTTCATAGGAATAGAACAGGCAGTATGTTCAGTTCTTAATATTAAATTTTGAGGTGCTGCAAGATATTTATGTGTACTTAGCCAGTACACATAAAATAAAAATAGGCTACTAAAATTTAGGAAAAAGGCCACATTTGAGTAGAGATTTGATAATCATTTATTTCTGAAAATGAATGTATTTAGTGAAATCATTTGAAAAAGACATTAAAATAGAATGCCTTAGCATACAGTGAATTTACAAAGGAGTAAACCTAGAAAAGAAAACAGAAACTAAACAGTCTCAGAAGAAGCATGAGAAACTTGGATTACTAGTGAATAAAATAAGAAAAACCACAAATTTTTGAAAAGGGGTTTAGCAGGGATGACCACAGGGTAGAATAATAAAGAAGGAGAAAATTATAAGCAATTTCTTTTTAGAAAAAATTATTTTATTTTAAGTTCCAGGATACATGCACAGGATGTACAGTTTTGTTACATAGGTAACGTGTGCCATGGTGGTTTGCTACACACATCAATCCATCGCCTAGGTATTAAGCTCCATATGATTAGTTATTTATCCTGATACTCTCCCTCCTCTAACCCCCTGACAGGCCCCAGTGTGTGTTCTTACCATCTGGGTATTCATGTGTTCTCATTGCTCAGCTCCCACTTATAAGTGAGAACATGTGGTGTTTGGTTTTCTGTTCCTGTGTTAGCTTGCTGGGGATAATGGCTTCTAGCTCCATTCATGTCTTTGCAAAGAACATACTCTCATTCCTTTTTATGACTGCATAGTATTACATGGTGTATATGTACCACATTTTCTTTAGCCAGTCTGTTGTTAAGAGACATTTAGGTTGATTCTTTTTCTTTGCTATTGTGAATAGTCTACAATAAACATATGTGTGCATGTGTCTTTATAATAGAACAATTAATATTCCTTTGGGTATCTACTCATTAATGAGATTGTGGACCGAATGTTGTTTCTATCTTCAGGTCTTTGAGGAATCATCAAACTGTCTTATGTAATGGTTGAACTAAATTACATTCCCACCAAGAGAGTAAAAGCATTCCTATTTCTCAGCAGCTCACCAGCATCTGTTGCTTATTGACTTTGTTATTATCATTACTCTGATGGTGTGAGATGAAATTTCATTGTGGTTTTGATTTGCATTTCTCTAATGATCAGTGATGTTGAGCTTTTTTTCATATGCTTGTTGGATAAATAATTTTTTTAAGAAGTGTCTGTTCATGTCCTTTGCCCACTTTTTAATAGAGTTGTTTGTTTTTGCTGGTAAATTTGTTTAAGTTCCTTGCTGATTCTTGATATTAGCCTTTTGTCAGATGGATAGATTGCAGAACTTTTCCCCATTCTGTAAGTTGTCTGTTCAGCCTAATGATAGCTTTTTCTTGTTGTTGTTGTTGTTTTGTTTTATTTCTTCTGTGCAGGAGCTCACTCTTTAATTAGATACTATTTGTCAATTTTTGCTTTTGTTGTTGTTGCTTTTGATGTTTTCTTCATGAATTCTTTGCCAGTGCTTATGTCCTGAATGCTATTGCCAAGATACTATTAAAAATAGTTTTATGGGCTGGGTGTGGTAGCTGACATCTATAATCCCAGAACTTTGGCAGGCCAAGGCAGGAGGATAGCTTGAGGTCAGGAGTTTGTGACCAGCCTAGGTAACATAGTGAGGCTTTATTTCTACAAAAACAAAAATTAAAAATAATCTGAGTATGTTGATGCTCTCCTATGGTCCCAGTTATTTGAAAGGCTAAAGTAGGAGGTTTGCTTGAGGCATGAATTCGAAGCTGCAATGAGATATGATCTTGCCACTGCATTTCAGCCTGGGTGACAAGGTGAGATCCCATATCAATAAAAAAATAAGAATAGTTTTAGGCTTTAGTGAATACAAAGTATGAGCAGCAAACAAAGACCATACTTTCTGGAAGTTTGATGATGAAAGGGAGATGAGTGATGGAACACGTATGAATAGAGTTGGAACTGTTTACTTATGAAGAGATGGAATCAATGTGTTTATAAAATGAATAAGGAAAGTCATTTCAGAGAGTGAATTAAATATTTGAGTTTTAAAGACAATGACTGATGAATGCTTTTTCTATAGAAATTAGGACAGGTGAGTAGAGACGGCAGAAATGAAGGGTTTAGCTTCAGATAGACTTAAAAGCACCTTCCCCTAAAGATAGGAAGGAAACACAGGTAAATAAAAAACTTTATATTAAAAGAACAGAAAAGTTGGAGATAATTGTAGCTAAAAGTAAGTATTTAATCAGTGAGTTATAAGAGCACATTATGCAAATAAATGATTATAAAGAAGTTAATCTTTACTAGGTTCTTACAGTATGCTACATTAATAGTAATTATATTTAATCTTCAGTGATAATTGTGCAATATAAATATACATATATGTATTTTGTAGGTGAGAAAATTGAGACACAGATATCTTAAATAACTTGCTCAAGGCTACTCAATTAATAAATTACAAAAACAGATTTAAACTCCAGCAGTTTTATTTTAGAGTCCACACTTGTGCCTTCATGATAATGTTATAACAGCTAAATAGAAAGTTTTGGTTCAAATGCTTCATAACATAGAAAGCAAAGCTATTGTAAGTATAATTAAAACAGAGTCTAAGTAATACCATTGTGTTATTAATATTGGACATTCAATAATTAATTTGCAATGACAGACTTTTTATCAACACTTCATAGTGTGCACATACCAAAACTGTCTAACTCTTCCCAATCACACAAAACAAATAAACAAATGCATAGATTTAAAAAGATTCTCAGATCTTTAAAATGTATATCTATAACCCAAGAAAATGGGTAGTATGATTATTATTCAATGACTATTGTTTAATTATACCATAAAATATTATTGTTATTCAATGGAATGAACAATGAAGTAAATAACATATCCTCCGTCTGCCACATCAATACCATGCATACTCTTCTATTTGGAATAATTTATTAATTATCAAAAATAGATTCTATCCACTCCAGAATTAGAGAAAAAATTAAATAATTCAAGTGTAAATGTGACAATGTAATTAAAGAAGAGTGAAAGGCAAGATATCAAGGATACTGATAAAAATGCCCTTGTGTGATGTATATCTTTCCTTTTGCTACTGTGATAAATTATCCCAAACTCTGCAGCTTACAATAACACAAGTATATTCTTATAGTTTTATAGGTTAATGGCCCTAAATTAATTTCACTCGGCTGAAATTTAGATGTTGAAAGGGCTACATATCTTTTTGAAGCTTTAAACGATAAACTATTTAATTACCTTTTCCAGGTCTAATAACTATTAATATATGTGTTACTTGACTTATTGATATCCCGCCATCTTCAAAGCTAACAATGGCTGTGTGAGTAAGTAACTCTCGCATTACATCATCCTAACACTGACTCTTCTTCTGTCTCCCTCTTATACATTTATAGCCACCTGTGATTACATTAGGCCCTTTGGGATAATTCAGGATAAGTTCCCATCTAAATGTCAACTGACCATTGACTTTAATTTGATCAGCAAAATTTATTTCTCCTGACCATTCAATGTGTCACATTCATGGATTCTGGGGTTTCGGATGTGCACATCCATAGGGAGACATTATTCTGCCTACCACAAGTGATGAACTATGAAAATTAGCATTTTTAGAAAAAGAAAAAAAGAATATAAAAGAGTTAGAAAGGTGGAAGTATAAGTTAAATTTTAAATGCCTTAGACTATCTTGAGATGAGACAATAGAAATTCAGTTTAGGATGATGTTGTTCTTCTTAGTTTTCTAAGGTATTTTTTACATTTGTTTTCATTAGTTTCAGTCACAATCTATATAGTTTAACCTATGAAATCTAAAGTTCCATCATTATTGATGGGTGATACTATTAGTCACTGTCTTCCATCATCTTTCTTTCTTGACCATTGGTTCTTGACGTTGAAATTATCTAGAGAGAATATAAAAGTATCAGAATGCCCTGGGTTATCTATGCATTAACTTCAACACTTTGACTTTATAAGGTGACAGCTTTAACTGACTGAGTCAACTGATACAGACTGCAAACTTTAATGAAATCACAATCACATCATGACAATGACATTATTAATTTATCTTCTGAGGTATATTTAAGCACAATCTACATGTGGATGGTTGAAACCTAATTAATGTAAATTACATTTATTGTACTTTATAATTTTTATAGATAAATTTGAAGGGATAAAACTTAACTCAAAATCCATGTCTTAGGTCAGGTAAACTTGCTACCTCTCCTAAATATCTATCTATTTATCATATTAGGGCCCATTCTGTATCTAGAAAGCATAAATAGTTTTTTTTTATGCCATTGTAAACCATCAGTAGAGTTTAGGCATGCCAGTGACTCAAGTGCAGGTGATTAAAGGTATATATTTTTAAATGATTAATTCAAAGAATGGTTGTCGAATTAAAGTGATTCACTGTTTACCACTCTTATTTTCCATGTTGGACTCTATCCACTGCCCATATCAAATTTATCTAAATTACGTTGCTGCAAATCCCCCCTATTACAGGATTGGGTATTATTGAGCATTTAAGACTAAGATCACAACATAAACTTAAGGAAAATGTAAACTCATATCCCATGTTCAGAATTAACTATCTTGCAATTGATAAGATTAAAAAAAAAGGTGAAAGCAAAACTAAAAGGTAATTCAGGTATAATGCTAGCTGGTAGCAAACAAGAGACAATGTAATGTTGGTAAACAAAGTCAGTGATTTTGTAAAGAATAGAATGTCAAAATGACCCAAGAGATTTCAGGGAACACAGTTTCTTGTGCTTGACTAGAGTAGTTCCTTAAAAGTTCTAGAAAGATGGAGTGTCTAGATGGGAACTGTGGACTTGAAAAATGGTTGAGAAAATATTTTAAAATAATCAACCCTAAATCAATATTATTCTTCACTAGATTTACTACCTGCTCATTTTAGCTAACAATCAACCAATTGGAAAGACAATACATGAAGAAGAGCTCTTTTCCTGCAGAACAGCACAATTCTTTAGACAAGAATCATATGGCAAATAGTTCTGTCTGCTGAATAAAAGTGGATAATAAATATGAGGAGCTATAGTCTTTGTTATTAAATCAACAGTTAGAAAATTTCTTTTGAGATTAACACTGAGGTAACGTATTCGCTTCCTGGGTCCACAAGGAGGCGTAGTTTCAAAGGCAAGAACTTCTCAGCACCATACTCCCACACACGTCTCCATCCAGGAGCTTAAAGGTCTTTCTTTAACTTGTGGCGCATGGGAAGAAATCAAAGGTCAGTCACTCCAGCAGAAATTTAAAGGAACTCCTTTCATAGGACAGAAAACTTGAATAGGGCAGGAATATCTCCCAGGTTACAAGTCCCATTCTACCACATCCAGGGAGACTCCATTTCTGGATCCCCTTCCATGACATCGTGGGAGCTGCTCTCTCTCGTTCTCTTTCTTCTTTTTCTCTCTCTCTCGGCCTAAATAAATCACTTTCTACAAGACTCTTTGAGGACCAATATTTAC